ATAGACAGCTAATTATGTAAACGATATCAAATTGTCATTATCAGTCTACTACATATAATTTTGTTAGTGTGTCGGGACGCCACACTTAATAGGGGAGGTATGTCACAGAGCAATAGCCCGATTTTGTTAATTAATTGTAAAGAAGAGAGTGATTGGTTGCAGGTGCGCGGCGCAGGCGTTGTAGCCCTGTTTCCCTAGAGTCCCATTTGAACTTGTTAGAGAGAAAGAGAGTGAGATAGGAAGAATTTATAATTTGTTTATTTGTCATTTCTGTTAACGTTGTTTATTTGCGTGATAGAGTTCTGAGAGATGAAAGTGAGCATTAAGTTGATTTGTGTGAGAAAGAAGGGAAAAAGAGATATGGTATGGTCATGCCCTGGGAACACGTGTGAGAGAGAGAAGAACAAGTCTGAAAGTCAATGAGTGTGGACGTGTCATTTTATTGAGAACATTGTGCTTTCTTATTTAATATACATTGTGTTGTAAATACATGCATGTAAATAAACGATGTACATAAAAACAATCGTCTTAATTAACCAGTGCCAGTGACAGGGAGGACCCCCGTCACATTTTAAATTTAAAGGCAGTACAAAAAAAAAACCGATTAAACAAAATCAAGCATTTCTAACTCCATATACATCCTAATTAGTAAAAAAGAAAGAGTATTCATTTTGACAATACGCTCAAAGGATCCAGACATTTTCATCGATGAGGAAGAAGTGGGTTTGGGATGGTGTGGTTGTTTCAATATCCGCGCAAAATATAGTTCGTAAATTCTTAGACAGAAATAAGATAAATACATGTAAAATATTTCATAAAATATTAATGTATGAAATACGAAAGAGTACAATCTTCGTGTGTCTGTGTGTTTTCTGAGGACGGGGTAGTCTGAATTTGTCAATAATGTTGTTAGCAAAATATTAATTAATTATATCAAAACTTCTTTTGGCAAAAAGATATATAAAATGCATATTGAATATCTAATTCTTAAATGAACATTTATTTAAGAAATGGAAAGATAACTTGGAAATAAAAAAAGAATATGTAAAACATGAAATAAATGTGTAGGCATGTTAAACTATTTTGTTGTTCCCGAGTACCTGTTTGTAGTAAGGTATCTTCATCTATGGTCCCGTGGGGATCCGGGTTAGAATAGGTCCCCAGTATCCCCTTGCTTGTCGTAAAAGGCGACTAAATGGGGCGGTCCTTCGGATGAGACCGTATAAACCGAGGCCCCGTGTCACAGCAGGTGTGGCACGATAAAGATCCCTCCCTGCTCAATGGCCCTAAGTACCAAGCATAGGCCTAAATTTGCAGCCCTTCACTGGCAATGGTGACGTCTCCATATCAGTGAAATATTCTGGAGAGGGACGTTAAACAGTATACAATCAATCAATCAATCTTCATCTATGAATGCACTTAAAAAATAGTGAAAGTCAATTGGGAGACTAGTAAATTTAAAATAGTTTTATTAAGCATTGGGTAGATATACTAAATAACATTAGTAAACCTAAGAATTTATAAGTAACTTTCACTGTGTATTTAAGTATCTTTATGACCACAACTCCACTTTTCACTGTCTTAGCTAGTAAACGGAATGATTACTAATCAGGAAAAACGCTTTACTAGGCACACTAGATAAATCAACTAGGTAATTCTTTCAGTGTGTGCAATTATGGTATAGACAGATAATTATGTAACCGATATCAAATGTTCATAAGTCTATTAGTTATACTAGTTTAAAAGGGGTGGTATTTCACAGAGCAATCGCGCCAAATAAATTACACTGTTATTTTCAATAAATGAAAAAGAAACTCTGATAAGGTTGCAGAAGTAAGACGCAGGTGTTGTAGCCATGTTTCCCAAGAAGGCCATTTTAGCTAGTTGGAAAGAAAAAAACTGTCGTTTGTTTATTGTACCTGATAGAGTTCTAAGAGATGAAAGTGGGCATAAGAGTGGAAGTATCTTTACATTTTGAACTTTGTGTATTATAATAAATCTATTGCATTTGTTGTAAATAAACTAGGTAATAAAACCAAACGTAATTAAAATTCCGTGACAGGGAAGACCCCGTAACAAACATTTTTTTTAATATAAAAATTCATCGTCATATTCTAATATTACAAAACGATAAAGCACGTCTTGGATATAAGAACTTCACAGCATCTATTTTTTCCTGTATATCCTCACACTGCAAATGCCCAACAGGCATGTAAACTGCTTTTCGCCATGGAGATTGGAATTTACAATCTCAAATGTTCATCAAATTGAATGTGTTTCATCTTACAAGAGAAACATCCTGTTGAATAATATGTATGATCCCCGACCTGTGGTACGCGGAGACATAAAATTATTTGGGTAGTATGTGCCTTACAATAGAAAACAGAGCAAAAGAGAGAGGTCTTTATTTAACGTGATTTTCATGTACATACGATTATTTCTTACGAAATAGTATTCATCTTTGTTAATATTCAAACAGCAGATTTATGAGAATTGAACAAAATTACCGATATTGACACGTTATTAACAGTAAACGAACATTGAAAAATATTTTAACCTTCATGGGATTCTATAAGATTAGAAATATAAAATATTGTAAAAATATATCGCATAATATATTTTAAAAAAAAATTGTCCATCATTTGAATATACAAGGGCTGTTTAATAAGTAATGTCCTGAACTCTATGACATACACTAAAGCAACCGTACGTCATTAAGCTTGGCTTTCTCTTATGATTTCATAATTGATAACAGTTAACGTGACAACTTTTTATCACATACATGTAGTGTCATTGTGTGGAGTTAGAAAAGAAGGATGATTCGAGAGACTGCATTAAAATGAATGGTTAAGAATCAGTCAACAAGAGTGAAATTAAACCCTTCAATAAAGATTATGTAAAACTTGTTTCGATTTCCATAGAAATATTCACAGACATACGGGAAATTTACAGCAACCAATATCTGTTTTATAGACACACGAGCAAGTGGATTTTTATTAACAGGAATGAAATAAAGGGCAGTTAAAGTGGTTACACTCCTTTGCAACTAGAAATTTCAAAAACCAATGTACTGTTGGTCAAAATTCGATAAATTATCACCAATGATGATTGATTGACTTTCAGATACATAGGAAATTTAATAGACATCTTCTGAGGGGTTGTTTGCACTGTTTTAAAGAAAGCATTGCCAGTTAAGAAGCTTAGACCTCAATTTGTACCCAATGTTCTGAAAAATGAGTAATAACGACAGCGTATCAGAAAATACAAACAATTATTTTAAAAAAGTCAGAAATTGGAATTTTCCATGTTTGACTGAAATTAAGACAGACAATGAAACGTGAATCCATTGCTTTAAATATAAAATAAGATGCACTCGACAAAAACAGCAAAGCTCTGAAAAGAGCAAAGAACTGCAAGAGCACGAAGCCAGGTTTTTATGTCATTTTTTGTTAAAAATTTGGTTTTGTTCATAAAAATCTTATTCGGGGATGCAGTTCAATTTCTAGAGGAGTCTAGAAAGCAAAATTTTGCAAAATAATCGAAACGTTGTTGAGAGGAAGGGAACAGATTCAGGAATTCACTATACTTCACGACAGCGTCGAAAACCCACACGCGCTTAAGAGTAAAGGAATTAAGAGATAAATAGTAAGTTAATGGTTTGTCACACCACGAATATTCGCCATATCTTTCACCCTTTGACTTGTTTAATTTTCCAAGCTTAAGAAGACATATTTCAGAAAGAGAAAGCAAGTCCTGGAAATCATAGAATCTGCCTTTTTCAGTATATGGAGGGTCATACTCACAAATGTGGTATAAAAATGTGTCAGGAATTTGATAAAATATAATGTTCATGTCTTTAAATTTAAAGAAAATTTCTAAATATTTATCTGAAATCATTAAGATTAAATGCACAAAAAGCGTATTTTGTTTCTCTCCGAGCACCGAGGACATTTTTTATTGATCAGCTCATAATGCACTTGAAATTTTGCCACGTTAATTTCTTATATGTCTGAAGTGTACGGTGAAATATCCAAAGCACTAATTATTTGATGAAAACAGTAAGATGTAATTTAAATAAATGTATTTATCCTTTAAACCACTCCTAAATATATAAGTTACAATGGCATGTACACGCATTTACATAAGGCATTCTGAATTATAACCTGGATATTAATTTGCTGGAATAGATTTTTTCTTTTAATCATGACCAATAATACAAGGACTGTTCAATATATGATGTCCTGAACTCTATGACATACAACATAAATATCATATGACGTTAAGCTTTGACTTCATCTCATTATTGATTCTTTAATAAATTTATAACCGTTTATGTGACCCCTTCTCATCACATAGTTTCATTGTGAGAATCTGGAAAACAAGGGGTATTCTAGAACACTGCATTAATAAGGAATGGTAATAAATACAGTAAACTAGAGTGAAATTAAACGCTTCATTAAAGCTGGTGTAAACCTTTTCAAAATGCATCAGAGAAACTCACTGATATATGTAAAAATTACAGCAACCAATGTATGTTTTATATACACATGATCACGTGTATTTATCATTAAACAAAAACTATATATTGGGCATCAAATATGGGTACCGTCCTTGGTGACACGGAATGATTACAACCATTGTACTGTTTGCCATAATTGAACAAATTATCACTGATGATTTATGATAAACTTTAAGTACATAGCAAATTTGATAGACATAATATTTTGAATAGTACAGACTGCTTTAAAGAAATATTTGATGTAAAAAGGCTGAATTAGTACTCAAAGGTCTTCCTATGTTTTGAAAACCAAGTTAAAACGATCGACAGCATGTAAGCAAATCTAAAAAAAAACTTTTTTTTAAAATCAGATATTGTAGTTATCCAGATTGTCTGAAATTCAAACAGATATCAGATAATCAAACTTGTTTATACCCAGACTTAATTACAACATTAAACTTTCTAAACACAATAGATATTAAAAAAGTGATTAAATTTCTGGAAAAATAACTATATATATAACGATGATGTTATTACCAATGTACATATTTTTGAACTGTTACAACATTTTGAAATACAAAAGGTCTGTACTCTATCTTTGATGCACATACATGTAACCAATTGTCTGTTTTGTTGTCCTCGTCTACCAGATGAGCTGGGAAGATGGGCATGTATGCCATTCAATGAAGGACTATGTACACTTTGTAATGCTAATAAAACATGTTGCCGACGAATTTCATTTTATACTTTTTGAATCTTATTTCTGCTTCTGCAGTAAAATAATCTTTTAAATTTCCAATTCTAGCACTAAAATCCCCAATTTAACAAACATATCTTTGGTCTATTGAAAAATGGATGAGTTCTTGGTCCTTTTTTATATAACAATATGTAGATGAATATTTACTAAATTCGAAGGTATATACACAACTCCGCATATCCAATCATCACACTTTTGAAAAAAGTGACTTACTAGTATTTAACTTTAACCAAAAAACATATTTACAATCAGTAATAACAATCAGTTTTTACAATCTTTAGTTCTTTAAATGCTTAATGATTTCGTCGCGTACTTTAAATATAAATTCACTCACCTTATGTTTGAAACTCTTTTTTTCTTAAATGTTGTGTAGCCTGGGATATTACATGTAACATCATCAGAATTCATTGAAAACTAGCTTATCGTATTGGATAATAAGTTCTATGAAATCGGTAAAATTGAGACGGATTTTAATCCAGAGACATTTAAAAATTAAAAAATTCAAATCTGTTTTCTGCTCGATCAGGTACCAATACAGAGTTATTACATTTTGTTGATGTCTGTTCATCTTTTTTCATATAAATAAAGCAAATCATATAAAAGATACAGTATTGTAATAAAAGGAGTGTTAGGTAACATGTAGATACTAATATAAAGTCTACACGCGTTACTTTTATATAAAAAGAGATAAAAAGACGACACATGAACCGTTAACTCGTCCTCTACTAAAATTTACATAAGTATCCGAGAGTTCCAATGTTTAACATTGCTTGATATATATGTACTGCATTGAATCTTATTAAATATTTGTACTTGGATTAAGATCAACATGTCTGTTATTTTTTTCCTACTTTAAACATGTACATATATATTGTATTGTTGTTCATCGTGTGTAAAACACCTAAGGTAAAATGATGTATTTATTGGTACGTTAATAAAATGTGTATTTTTCAAATGCATGAAGTGCATTCGATAAAATGAATATGAACATTTTCCAAACCTATAAACACAATGTAAAGGACCTAACTTATTTATATATTTTAAGAAGGATGTATAGCGTATATATTGGCAAAAATACAACCGATAAAGTTTTATAATGCATTATTATATGATTGCAACGTTTAAAAATATTTCAATCTAAATATTACGCGAATCCATTTTAACAATGTTAACAACCCCAGCGGAGGTAGTATTTCTATGTGAAAGCGAGTATGCATTTTATGCTTTTGACGGGCTCTTATCGCCGATAAGGATCTTTTTAGAGGAACTTGTAATGGTTCAATGAATGAATGTATTCGTGTAATGAGAGAGAGAGAGAGAGAGCATGGTTTAAATCAAGAACAGCCGTAACAACAAATATTCCTCCAAAAATATGTAACATGTAAAAAAAAAATTGATAACCTTTTTTTCATGGAACTGAATGATTACTGTCATTATCATTTAGTCATTAATTGACTGCATAATATTAACACCAGGAATTTTCTTATATTTCTATTCCCTGCATATGGATTTTTAACATTTGTACCATTCGATTTTGATAAGTGTTTAGGATAAGGTTGAAGATAGCTTTCTTTGTAGCCCAGCTATTTCCAACTATTTCCCGGGGTCCTTTGTTTCAAGATTTTTTTCTGTTAATTAACAGAACACATATTGTGAACATGCCATCATCAATATTCACTGAGAAATTTACCCAGTTGAATTAACTAGTGTGTCTAGTAAAGCGTTCTTCTTGATTAGCAATCACTCTGTGTACTAGCTTAAGTAGTGAAAATTTGATTGATGGTCGTAATGATACTTAGATACCTAGTGAAAGTTACTTATAAATTCTTAGATTTACTAATATTATCTAGTAAATCTACCCAATACCTAGTAAAACTACTTTTGAGGTAGTGATTGTATGGACAGTAAGTTTACTAGTCTTCCCAGTGACTTTCACTAGTTATTTTTGTTCAGTGTTTTAACAACCAGTGTCACCGGATATTGAATGCAAAATTATTGAAAAGTGGCTTAAAATTATTAGTTTGATCTGTTTCGAATCACATTGTATATACAATGTATATGGAACTACCAAATTAATAAATGTTTGCCAAAGACATGATCCCTACGGTGAGAGAACTTTTGAAAAATGTGGTCGTTATTCAAAGAAAAGCCAGCTGTGTAATGTATAAGAAAATACTAGAATCTCTTTACACACTCTGTTTAAAATATAAATTCATTTGACATCCAACTATCTAGCTCTCCAAGGCTTCATTTAGTATTTTTATTTTATGTATATTGAGACTTTTTAAATGATAAATCATATGTCTCCCATTCTATTAATTTTCGATCTTGTTTGACACCTGTAGTTTGGGGTTAATTGTTTTTTATTTGATGTTTAGAAAGGGCATTTTTGCACATGGTACCAATTTCTTGATCCCTGACATCTTTTTCCTGTCTCACGATATCAATATCATTTACGCAAAATTGTTATCAACTTTATGGTTAGTTATTATGATTGTGTTCCTTGAATTTGTTTTGCTTAGCTCTACTTAATTTCAGTCTTGTAAATGAATGTCAGGCGGATTTCCCTTGCTCTTGCAACTTTCTTGTGATCATTTGCGGGTCATTATGCACGTGGGCGGATTTGTCAGAGATAAGATGTTTGTGAATTTATATTCCCTTCAATCCAAGAAATTCTAATTGGCTTAAATTAAATTGTTTCTAAAATGACGTTAAACAATTTATCATATACCGACTGATACTGAGTCACTATATTTATTGCATATAACAAAACGTGTAACAGAACGTATACACTATAACAAATTAAGCTATAGAATAGTGATTGGGCTAATTTTGAAAATTGCATATTGTATCAGTTTTCCACATAACCTCTATCTCTCTCTATTTCTCCATTTCTCTCTCCCTTTCTCTCTTTGAACGCCTTCCCAAACAATCAATGTAATTATTGTTTATTTTATGAATGCTACATGTATATAAACGTTAGGGTAATGCATTAAGATAAAATCATCATTTTGTGATAGTTCAAAGATGAAAGATTGGTATAAAGACATAGTTATCTTTCCGTTGCAAGTTTGTACCACGTGCCGAGTATTTTGTGTTTGCTATTCGATGTCGTTGCAGCGTTTATGTCTTAGCATATTACACCCTTGATCGTGTTAGAGCTCGGTGACAATAGTCATGGAAGGAAAATGGACCATAAGCGAAAATTTTTTAATTCAACAAACGGAAAATGGCGAAAAGAAGACAAAAATCAAGAATGTAAGAGCTGGTGCAATTTTAAACCGTATCGATGTAAGTATTAACAATATTTACTTGAATTATCACATAAGACTTACATTATTGAAAGTGTAGCATTTCAGACATTAATTATGAAAAATGTAACATTTAAATTATTTGTTACATTAATGATCCTACAGTTCTAACGAGAACAAACGAAGAAGAAATTTAACAATCTCAACTGTTCACTAGAAATGATTTATATATTAAGGGAGGATTTGTGTTTCAATTAACATGCTACATGTCTAAAATGCCAAGATATTTATAGCAAAATTTCGTAGAGAAGTTTATGTTTATACAGTCTCAAGATTGAGTTACTACTGCTGTTATGCAAATATTACAGGATCAATTTGTACAAAACTGACATTATGATATAAATGAAGTTTATGTTTATACAGTCTCAAGATTGAGTTACGTCTGCTGTTATGCAAATATTACAGGATCAATTTGTACAAAACTGACATTATGATATTAATAGTTCATCAAAAGGTATTGCGCATAAACTTTTTAAATCAAATTTTTGCCAATAAAATTTAGAAAAATGCTAGACAATATTGTAGTACAAATTGCACTAATGGCGTTCGGACGATTGGCATGTATATTATTCAATGAAAGATTATGTACATTTTGTAATGCTAAACATGTTGCCGACGAATTCCATTTCCTACTGGAATTTACTGCATTGTCAAACATTGGGGAAAAGTATATAAACGTATACTGATTCGCTAGATCAAATATTCTTATTTAATCATAGCTGATGACAAAATAAGATGTTAAGACAATTAAAAAAATATGTATGTTTATATTAAATATATATACGATTTAGTCTTTCCTCCATGACCCCCCCCCCCCCCCCCCACATGTATTTCATTATTACATGTGTCATTATTTTTTTTCTTTTTCTGCCATTTCATTTTGTGATTTTGTATACGCTGTAAATATTTATTATTGTCCTTATGTACCATTTGTTTAAGAAAGGTTTGATTGAAAAAAATGAACTTGAACTTGGAGAAAACAGCCATTATGAATTAATGACACACATATATATCATACTATTTCATAGATTGTTCTGGAGAGTAATGAAACAATTTCATTGAATCTGAAAGATGTTTACTCAGCAAAGGGGGATATCAAAGAGGAAACACGCTCATCACGTTCGAAGTTTCTTGAATGGTGGAAGGAGACACAGGTTGGAATATTTGTAATACTGCACTTAAAAATTGTACTGCTGTATTCATGAAAGATAAGCAATGCATACAGTTGATATATAATATTGTTATATCTTTTACATAAACCCATAAAATAAGCGGTGTTCTTCACCATCAAGAATTGCATTCTTCTGAAGCACTTTATCAGTTAATCAATATCGTTTGCTCAATTATTACTGACAAATGTTTATTCATGAAATTAGTATTTATATTCTGCACAACGCCCTCATTTACTCCCTATTTCATATATCAAAGGAAAGCGTCGAATGTCTGGAAAAGGGAGACCCAAAAATTGAGGAAGAAGTCCAAAATACTGACAAAGAAGAGCAGGGGCATGAAGAAAATGAAACCGTCGTTGAGCAAAAAAGCATTGACAAAGAAGTAATTAAGAAGCATCTGATTGGTAAGCATAATGTATTTGGCGACAAACGTGAAAATAAAAGAAAGTGAATTCTGAAATATATATATAAAAAAATGTCCCTGTCATTAAAAAAATCTTATTGATAAGAATAATGCAATTGTTTTGCGACCACCATAAAAATTCTTTCATATAATTTTTACCCCAATCTTATCTATTTCAATTTTATTCTTGAATTAATACCCGTGTATTCTTGAATAAAACCTTGGCTTTTTGTCCGAGCGCCGTAGCACTGTACCCTGCGCACATCTAAACTTAACAAAATCTTTATTTTTGTCTCTATTTTATCCAAAAAAAAATATGACGCACTTAAATATAATAGAAAAATATGATGCGCCCATTATTTTACGAGAAAAACGCTTTGTCCACGATTTTACCGGACAACCCTCGAAAAGTAATATTTCAGTATAATTAATTATCTTAATCTCTTATACACGATGAAAAAAAACTGAAGCAATAGATTTATTCAATATTGCTGAGCATACGCAGATCTTCTTATTGGATAAGCTGTTAAATAGGCGGAGTTATCTCCATCATTCTCATTAGCTGATAAGAATAAGCACCAACAGTGAGAATATGAACAAGAATATTGTACGCATTAACCACTTTCCATTCACTTCAAATCAATTGATGCATAATCTGTTAGAAAAAAAACCAATTAAAAATTGTAAGAATCTCTGTCTACGAACATTTATTGTAAAAGAACGCGGTCTATTGCGAATTACATGTAGCTTCAGTTTGTTATTTCAAAACAAAATGCTTACATGAAAATAGAGCCGAATGAAAACAAAAATAAATGATATACTATTCAAATGTGAAAGTCCTATCTAGCGATAAATCTAAGAATTTAATTTCTGTGCTTCATGCCGTTTTTCAATGTGGGTGAGGAATGGGAATAAGAAATATCTCTTGCCAATTAACGAGAGTAGATTTTACAAATCGTAGAAAATAATAAAATGAAATGAGATCAATTACTAGTATTCTATAATTGTACATACAGAGGTACGTGTCCTTCAGGCATCTGGCCTTTGATTTATTTTATACTTTTGTTTTGTAGCTTTTGATAAATATTATCCAATATTTTTTCGTTTAGGTTCTAGAGTTCAAGTGCACATCTCCAATCTTGTACCGCCTGCCGAAGGGAACATGGTTAGGGCACTGGATAATGATCATGTAGATAAAATATGTCAGCAATTAAAACTCGCTCATGGTCATTACACTACCTTGATCGGTGTTCTAAAGGAGGGCAGAAATAATATAAGTAACATCGATGATTTAAAAAACCCGAATGTGGAAAAAATAGAGGTCATTGGAGGTAATCATACAAGAGAAGCGCTACAACAGCTTCATAGAGACGGAGATATAGATCAGCAGTTTTGCGTCCTGATGGACATCTATCAAAATTTATCACAAGGCCAAGTATTTCATCTTGGATACTTGCATAATGAAATGCATGAGTCTTCCAAGAAGATGTCCTTTCCAGAAAAGGTGATACTCTTCCGAAAACTAAGAGAAACAAACGAGACATCAAACAAAACTGCAAAGCAGAATGCTGCTATTTGGCGGGGAAGAGTAGCAACAATTACAAATAAAACGGTTAGTAAATTGAGTTGTACATGAAGTTTATTGGTAAAAAAAAAATTATGTAAGCAAAATACAAGATCACTATTTTTTGAGAAAAGTAAGAATATAAAATTATGAAAATTCAATTGTAGAAAAACGAAATTAAAAACTGTTTCCGTGTGCACTTGAATCTTGCATCGCTTCCGGAAGATCTTTGGAAAGAACTTGTAAAGGTTTTTAATGCAAGTCAGGAAAGAAGGCTGAAAGGAGTAAAATCAACAGACGATTTGTCCCAATATCACTTCTTTCACTTCTCCAAAGTGAAGACAGTGGAGGAGAAGAAAACATTGCTGTCTGAGTTAGCAGAGGGAAACATTACTTTGGAGGAATTTCGGGAAAGGACTTTAAGACCGAGGTAAATGACATGTATGATAAAGAAAATGCACTAGCACTGACAAGGAAATTCATGACAAATAGACGCTTTTCTCAAATTGTGATATCATTGGCATAAGAATTAATCAGATTAAATCAAATATAAGCTATATGCTTCTTATTTAATATGCATTAAAACTGTTGCTTAACAAACGCCGATAAAGAATGTTATATTAGTACTAACAAAACTGTATAAATAAACTTGAACTACATTTAGTCATTAGGGCTATGGTTACTTGTAAAATTTACCTACATTGTTAAATAATTTGCGATAATACTCTCTTTTTACACACATGAATTAATTTTTTCTAAGTTTTACCAATACACTGTACATTATCTTGCATTTAAACAAACTGTTCTTTTAAGGTAATAATGAGAAACAGCTGTTTTATGATAACTTTAATTGTATAGGCAAAAGACGGGGAAGAAAAGTGCAGAACCAACAACTGAAAACAAAGTTGAGTAAGTTGGAGTTTTAAAATTTATTTTGATAGATAAGTCGGAATGGTGGCATTGGCTAGCAAATCTATTATCGGTTAGTCGGATTTTTATTTCAAATATAGAAAAATTTAAACCTTATTTTGTTAAAATCAATTTTTAAAAAAGAAATCTTTGGATAAACGTTTATAATTCACCGTTTCTTTAAATAGCCGAGCATAATTTATATAGTTGAATGTTGTTTTGATTCTCTGGATTGAGATCGTGGGGGTAATTGGTCGTTTGTGTTTGAAGTATTTTTATACGCCCGTCTTAAGACGGGACGTATTATGTTATAGGCTTCATGTCCGTCCGTCCGTCTGTCCGTCTGTCCATTCGTGTCCGGCTCATAACTTCAATACTATTAGGCCTAGGATTATCAAACTTTGTCAACTGATACTTCTTGGGTAGACGGTGTGTCGCGCACCAAAAGTAGGTCGCTCTGACCTTTAATAAAGATGCTATGGCCAAATATGGAAAAATCCTGTCCGGCTCATAACTAGAAAACTATTAGACCTAGAGCTATCAAACTTGGCAAAAGTATACATCTTAGGTAGACGGTGTGTCGCGACCTATTTCAAGGTCACTTTGACCTTTAATTTTAGTGAAATTTTTTAAAAAACTAAGTTTTTTAAATTTTAAATTTCATAATCCTAAAAATGTTAAAAATAGAGTTGTATCCTTATTAAAAAGTATTAAATCAAGTAAAAACTTATTTTTTCATCATATACTTTACAGCAATCTTAAATAAATTTCAGTGTTAATGAGAGGAATTCAGTTTGTCCCATGGGCATAATTATCAAGCACTGGTCAGGAAGAATTTTGATAGCAGAAAGTTGCATGTCAAATTAGAGAGAAATTAATGAGTTTAGTGTGAGGAGGTTTGGTGTTATCCCTTGGGTATTGGGCAAATGGACAGCCAGCCTAGCTGTTAGATTAAAAATAGCTCTTGTTGGCTAGCTAAGTTTTAAAATGAATTAGATAAAAAGTAATTAAAACTTATTTGATATTGCATAATAAACTAATAATCTGATATTATATAATATTGATTAATTAAAAACTAATTTTATGAGGTGGGGTTGAATCAGCATGCCTACTTGACCATATGAATTAAATATAAAACCTGTCTGGCATTAAATCTAAAAGAAATCATGGAGTATTTTATATGTTTTAAAAGTGTTTTAGGATAAAAAGTGCAGATCCATTAATATTTAGGGAGTAATGAGTAGACAAGCATCCAGTCAAAGATTAATTAATGAGTTCAATGTACGAAGGCTATCTGATCAAGCGCTGCCTTATCTGTATCCTTTGGGGATTATACAGAAGAACTGCTGGTCAAAGCATATGTCATTTGATGGCCAGCCTTTCTTTTCAAAATTAATTTGGCATAGATTAAGTTATTAAGACTAATTTGATATTGTTTATTATGATGGCTGGCATTTGACAAAGTCTAACACAAACAGTATAGAAATTTGTCAGTTATGTAATATTTGTTATAATTATGCCTACAGCACAGGGGATGGATAAAGAAATATTTTTTTTTAAAAATGGAAAAATCATGGAAATCTTAGAATCAAGGTTGAAGTGATTTTCTTGCAGTCTAAACTGTTAAAGATAATTGTGTAATATTTTGACGGGCGTATCATGCTGTGGCGTGGCATTTTATTTACTTTTATTACCATGCAGTTATCCAGATTGTCCTGTATTTCTTTAATGTTAATTAAATTACCATTAAGAACTGCGAATAAAATGTTGTTTTTAAACACCCGTATTTATTATTGCAAAATACGGAAAAATTCTGTCTGGCCCGTAACTTAAATCTATGTGACTTAGAATTATAAAACTTGGCAAGTTAATGCATCTTAGGTAGAAGGTGTCTACGTCTAAGCAGTCTTATCCATATCCTTTGAAAATTAGATAAACTGTTGGTTAGTTTATTGAAATTTGCATATGATGGGCAGCCTTTTATCTTCTAAACTTTGTAGAGATTAAGATGTAAAGACTCATTCGATATTGTTCGATATAATGGACATTTGACAAGGTCTATTATAACCAGTATACATTGTAGATATCTTTTATAAATGATAGATATTTGTTATAATTAACGCCTTCACCACAGTGAATGGATAAACAAATAATGTAAGGAATGGAAAAATCATGAAAATTTTAGCATCAAGACTGACATTATTTTTTCTCGTACTTTTAAGTGTTTTACACTTGTAATTTTTAGACGGGTGTATCATGCTGTGGTGTGGCACTTTATTTGTTGTTATCTATTGAATATATGAAAAGCATATTTTGTAAACTCAGTGATGTTTTCAGGCTATGTTATTTTTAAATATGTTGACAACTCATCTGAACATTTGAGAAAACTGTTTTGTAAAGATAATAATTTCGCAGCCATGATTCGTGGTCTATAACTTTCCCCAGTCTATATTTAAACTGACATGAAATAATTAAATCAGCATATGGGGTTTTAAAAGCAGGAATTCACACAAATAAAGTGATAAAACATCAGTTTTATATAAATGAATGGCGGTTCTTAGAAAAAAGAACTTATTTTGTACAACAAGAAAATGCGGAATTATATATGTTAACAGGTAAATCGATTGGAAAATCATGCGGTTTATAGATTAGCAATTATGTATCCGATTATAATCCCTTGTAAATTTAAAGTTGTTTGATAGCATTTTGATTTGTAAGAACCAGAGAAAAACTTGACAGATGTAGCGACAGTTTTTTTTTCTTTTTAGTAACACAGTAAGTGCATCAAACGAGGACAAGAAGGATTTATCTGATTCAGAACATATTGATGAAGAAAGGTAAATAAACGAATGGGTCAGATAAACTTAATCCTTTAAATTTAGCTTAATATAAACGTATCCAATATAAATTAAAAGTGTTGAGTATAATTATAGTGTTGTATAACACACACATAACACATAACACATAAATAAATAGTTTTTTTTATTTTCTTCAACATTTCAGCAAAGAAGATGAAAAGATCAAAAGGCAAGTTCTTGAGCTGCGTCAACAAATGAAAGAATCGGAAGAAAAGATTAAAGAGGCTGAGAAAAAAATATCAACATATTCAGAATTAGTACTAAAGGTAAAATTTACACAGTTTTTCTGCAACAAAAACCATTTTCTTTGTATAAGTAGCTCTGATGAATGATTTCACATTTATAGCAAAAGGAAGAATTGGACCAGTTAAAGGAGAAAATACATGAACAGGAAATAGAGATTTTGAATTTAAGGGTATGATACCTAAATATATCATTTTTGAAGAAGCCATTATATTATTTATTAATCTATTTATTGTGTAAACAAATGATATTTTTAATTACCAGGATGTACTCAAATTTCGAAGTTTTAAGAAATTTATATATAGTTATATAGTAAGATAAAATTTAATTAAAAGGTTACATGGTAAAAACTTTGTAAAATAGTCATCACTGTTGTAATACTAATTCTCAGTTTGTACTGCATATTGCTGAATAAGTAAAGCTGTATATCATTCATAAACACTGCAAATGTATCTTTAGATACAAAGATCTTTGCGTAAGGGGGCAGAGGTTCATTTCATTTATGAAAATATATTCTTTTCAGAAATCAGAAGAAAACCTTCAGAACCAAGTTACCAGTGAGCGTGAGAAGTGTATGTTGGCAGAAGATGCCGCTGCAAGAGCAAGATCCAAGTTCTCAGATAAATGTGTTAATATATATATCAAGTACATATACAAGTTTCTAAATGCATAATCTATAAATGCTAGTATCAACGTTTATAATTCCCTTATCCATACATCACAATATGACTCTTATAAAACCGAGTACTAATTTTTGCTTTATTTTTTTTTATTTGGTTCAACTTGAAAGTTTAAGCGGTTTTTAATATAGTTATATTCGCTTTACTCATATATTGACAGAAAATCAAAGGATTCAAATTCTACAAAATGAACCAATATGCAACTCCTACCAAATATATTTTTGTAAACTGGATTTGAATTCATTTCAATTGCTTCACAGTTTACGAAGGATTAAATGCCCCTGTCCAATAAATTGAACTTAACTTGAATACAAAAAATATTTTTTTTATATATTCTATATCAATATCTTCACCTTTTTCACCTTTATCATTTTTGCACATATAGGACAACAAGAAGAAGAGTGAAAAGAGGCCTGCTGATGAGGATTTAAACCTTAAAGTAAGTCCACAGTAATGATCAAAAAGCCTTGCTGATCATTTTTTTTTCTGTCATGATTTGAACAATTGATAATCTACACTATCCTAGGATGCTTCTACGTAAGTTTAAGCTTTTCTTGCCCAGTCTAGTGGTTTTTGAGAAGTTTTTTTTTGAATTGTACCCACCATAATTTGTATTCTCTTTATTATCTCCCTTTGATAATGGATTTTTTTTTCATCTTAACAATTTAAACTCCCCTATACTCAAGGATGCTTTGTACTTAATTTGGTTAAATTTGGTCCAAAGGTTCTTGAGTAGAAATCAAAAATATGAAAAGTTTATAGACAGATAGACGGACGACGGACAAAATGTGATTGGAATAGTTCATTTGAGCCTTCGGCTCTATTTACCAGTATATCATTTTTCTACTTGTGCTCAATATTAAGATGAAGACAAAAGTTTGGTCCTAGGTTTACAATGAAAAAATCCTTTCAACACAGTTATGAATTATTCCTAGTATTAATTTTCCTGCTCTTTCACATTCAGGTTTCAGAAAATCAAAAAAGAACAAAGCTCACAAAAAACGATCATTCTCTTCCAAAAGATGAATTGAAAAACAAGGTAAAAAATAAATCCAACTCTAGTGCATACTGATAACTCATTACATGAACAATTGCAAGCTATTTGATTGTATGATAATCATCGTATAATAAAATCGTATTGTCAAAAGAATAAAAAATACATGGATTTAAAATAGTCATAATTTTTTAATATCTGGAAAGAAGCTCATATTCAAATACGTTGTACTATTCAAAAGGAAAGGAATTATTTCTTTTTAAAATTCTTTATTTGTATCTGCATTGTTTTAAAAGGAACATATTGGATATTTAATGTTTCCCATCTTAAAATTCATTTTTGCTGGATTTTACAGGTTACAGTTGTAGCTGTTGATTTCAATGAGAAAGTGTACCTAGGAATGATTGATAAAACCAACAACATCACATTCGCGAAAAAACCCATCGGAAAAATTTCTCAAACATTAACAACAATGGATATAAAAGATATTTGTCTAACCTTAAATACCAAAGATGTTATGCAAATGGACAAAAAATTTATTATATGTTCTTCAAAGTCTGTTTTGGAAGATGATAAACTTGTCCTTACAAAGAAAGAAATACAGTCCATGATAACATCTGTTACAGAATATGGAATGGAAAAGAAATCTAACAAATAATTAATAAAATTATCACATGTTTCGAACATATCAATCGTCTTGAAGCGCTGCTCAAGAAGAATTTCTTTATTATGTATTTGAGGTCAATTGTATATTTCTTGCAAAATTATTGTACATGAATTAAATTTCAATCTTGTTTTACCTATTCTTTTTTTAAATTTTAGACATTCATTTGTAGCACGTATTTGTTTAGTATGTTAATATCCGTATGAATCAACCATTTGCCTATGCATACTGTAATGTGATTGTATTAGACTTTAATTTTTCATTGTAATGACTCTTTCACAATTAATGTAGGGCTCATTGTCCATGTCCACTGTAGTTACATTGTATGTTTGTATATTTATTTTGTATAGAAGTAACGATACAGTAACATTTTTTTTTCAAATACCTTAGATTTGCAAATATGTCTTGGAGGAATGTTACTTTGTGATTGGTTGAACACCACTTCTTGAAACATAAAAATAACTGATTCTCATATTTAGTCTTGTCATAAATGATTTTAAAGTTTGAGGAATGTTAGATGAACTCTGTCCAATATGTATAACTGTAAGACCTCAAACCCTTAAGATACTTCAATGTTGAAATTAAGTCTGGTTCTAACCTATTTCAAAGATGGAGGAATGTTACTCTGTCCAGTGTGTATGACTGTAAGATCTTAAAGCATTAATGTACTTCAATGTTGATATAAGGTTTGGTTATAAATTATTTTAAAGATGGAGGAATGTTACTCTGTCCAATTTGTGTGACTTTAAGATCTTAAAGCATTAATGCACTTCAATGTTGATATTAGGTCTGGTTATGAACGATTTTAAAGATGGAGAAATGTTACTCTGTCCAATTTATTTGACCTTAAAGATCTTTAAGTATCAATGTAATTCAATGTTGAATTTACATCTCTGGCTATAAACAATTGTAAGGTTGAAAGAATGTTGCTCTGACCAATTTGTGTGACTTTAAGATCTTAAAGCCTTAATGTACTTCAATGTTGATATAAAGTCTGATTTTAAAGATGGAGGAATATTACTCTGTCCAGTTTGTGTGACTGTAAGATCTTCAAGCATTAATGTAGTGCAATATTGAATTTACGTCTCTGGATATAAACAATTGTAAGGTTGGAGGAATGTTACTCTGTCCAGTTGTATAACTTTAAGACCTTAAAGCACTAATGTGCTTCAATGTTAAATAGTCCAAATATAAACATTTGTAAGGTTGGAGGAATGTTACTCTGTCCAGTTTGTGTGACTGTTAGATATTAAAACATTAATGTACAACAGTGTTGAGATTTAGCCTTGAAAAAACGATTTTAAGATCTAGAGGAATGTTACTCTGTATTTGGTAGAACTGTAAGTCATTAAGTATTATATTGAATTTGTTTGGAGGAATATTACTCTGTGTAATTTGTATAACCGTAGAGACTTCAAGCATTAATGTACTTCAATGTTGAAATTTAGTCTTGACAAAAACGAGACTAAAATTTAGAGAGATGTTAATCTGTCTTTGGTAGAACTGTAACGTCAATAAGTATTATATAGTATTTGTTTGGAGGAATGTTACTCTGTGTAATTTCAATTTTTTTGTAAAGTCTTACACAATTAATGTACTTCAATGTTGAAATTAAGTCTGAATATAAACAAGTTTAAGGTTGGAGAAATGTTAATCTGTCCAATTTGTGTGACTTTAAGATCTTAAAGTATCAATGTACTTCAATTTTGAAATTCATTCTGGATATATATTTAAGTTTTCTTTGTGAGAAATTGTAAGTTTGGAGGAATGTTACTCTGTCCAGTTGTATGACTTCGAGATCTTTAAGTATTACTTAATGTCGAAATTTAATCTTGGCTTGAACGATCTAAAGATGTAGAAGAATGTTACTCCTGTATTTTTTACGAATCTAAGCATACACCATTTCTTGTGCACCTTTGTTGATACTGACTTTCTTCACTGTCTCGAGATGCCTATGATAGTAGGGGAAATCGGAGCAATCATGATTCTTAAGATTCATTACATTATACTTGTATTAATAATTCAATTTTCATTGAAGATGATTAGCGATGTAATTGAGGAATGTTACTCTGACTATTCACAAAAATAAAAGTCAAAATACCAAGTTGTATTGATAGCAAACATTTTTGATTTTTTTTATCATATACAGGCCTAGTGTGAAATACTATTTGTAGGTAATTTGACTTAAGAATAAGACAAACCCAACCGAAAACCCGTAAAAGAGACTAATATTTCAGTCTCTTTTTATTCTGCTGTCCCTTATATATATATTCCTATGTTATTCATAAAAATTAGAAGATAATTAATATTTTAAACAATGTCTTCTTTTTCTTTCAGGTGAAAATATAGGGATCGGAACATATTTAGAAAAATATATATATAATCAACTTTTTAGCAAGGATTACCAATCTACTGTATATTATTACACTGTCAAACATTTCGAAAAAACTTGACAACAAAAATTGATATTCCACCACCATACTTTTCTTTTGGCAAACGATACACAAATATCATACATACCAAGACTCCCCCTCACGTACACGTTTTTAACCAAGTGAGAAAATGCCGCAGCAGCGGCCCTTCACTTTATAGGAAAAGAAGAAGAAGAAGTTAAGACATTACTGTATACTTAACCATGATCTATATAAACGAAATATTGTAAGTAGTCCATTATGTTTCTGTGGAAAAAATGAAGATGTGTATCATTTCTTTTTTGCATGCACAAATTATTCTAATGCTAGAAGTACTCTTTTTAATCATTTGTTCATGCTTGATTTGGTTTCTATTGATATTATTATATTATAATGTGGTGACATTAATTTGCCTTTGCAGATAAATAACACTATTTTTGCTGCTGTTCATAAATTTATTGACGAAACATATAGATTTTCTAAATGATGTATTACATTATAATGTATCTATTTATTCATGCATCAATTGTATTATTTTTTTTCTTTTTGCATGACATATTGTATGATATAAGGAGAGGAATTCTTTAAGTTATTTAGAACTTGTTTCCAATCCTTTTGATTGATATCAATAAAATATGTTCAAAATAACAAAACAAATTACACTGTACAATATTACTAGTATATGCAATAGCATAGCCTTTCATGAAAGGTAAAAGTGAATAAACATTGCATGGTTTAGCCTGTCAGGTTAACTTAGAATCAGAATTGTTGAGGAGTGGACTTAAATTTCTATTATAAAGAGTTGGGTATTTTGATCACATTTTTACTTAATGAATGTATGCTCATAACGTTTGATCATTTTATGAATTGTTATCAGAAATATGAAAGATACAAACTATTTCTTGGACTGTGCTTTGATTAACTAATACATGTATACAGCTTAAATCCATGCACGCAATCTTATATACATGTAAATTTATAGTTTTTGCTGTTCTGGATAAGCATTAACTATGTAAATTCCTTCATAGAGACAACTATAAAGGGTGAGTTAGTTAAAATAAATATCTAGAAATGGAGAATGAAAGGTAATTGATTGATCAAACCTTCAAAGAGAAAAATTCTCCCCAACCCTGCGCAGAAAATCTTGCGCCATGAATTGCAAAAAACAATTATTACAGGATCTGTAGCGTTAGGAACACAGGCCTTCAGATCGCTTAGAAAAAAAATTGAGGTGTTGCAAAAAAAAAATGTTTACACACAAATTTTTTTAAGCGATCTAAAGGCCTTTGGTTAGGAACAAAGACTAATTCATAAAACCATTATCCTACAGTCCTGCAGCTACGGATTGTTAGTTAATTTAAGATCATATAATTCAAATCAGAACATTTATTGAAGAAACAAGAGGCCCATGGGCCACATCGCTCACCTGAGAAGCTTTGACCATTCTGTTCTTTACCAGATTTCCTCCTTTTAATACATATTGCGACCTCACTCTACCCCACTGATCATAATTTAGACATTTTGAAATCTACACTACCCCAGGATGCTTCCATGTGCACATAAGTTTTAGCTTTTCTGGCCCAGTGGTTCTTGAGAAGAAGATTTTCAAAGATTTTTCCTACATATTTCTATGTAAAACTTTGATTCCCCATTGTGGTCCCGCCCAACCACCGGGGGTCATGATTTGAACAATTTGAAATCTACACTACCCTAGGATGCTTTCACATAAGTTTCAGCTTTTCTGGCTCAGTGGTTGTAGAGAAGAAGATTTTCAAAGATTTTTCCTATATATTTCTATGTAAAACTTTGATTCCCCATTGTGGCCCCGTCCTACCCCCGGGGGTCATGATTTGTAAAATTTAAAATCTACACTATCCCAGGAAGCTTCCACATAAGTTTCAGCTTTTCTGGCCCAATGGTTCTTGAGAAGAAGATTTTTAAAGATTTTGCCTATATATTTCTATGGAAAACTTTGATTCCCTATTGTGGCCCCGCCCTACCTCCGGGGTCATGATTTGAACAATTTAGAATCTTAACTACCCCAGGATGCTTCCACATAAGTTTCAGCTTTTCTGGCCCCGTGGTTCTTAAGAAGATTTTCAAAGATTTTTCCTATATATTTCTATGTAAAACTTTGATTCCCCATTGTGGCCCGCCCTACCCCCGGGGGTCATGATTTGAACAATTTAGAATCTACACTATCCCAGGATGCTTCGACGTAAGTTTCAGCTTTTCTGGACCAGTGGTTCTTGAGAAGAAAAGCTCACTTCAGCCTTCGGCTCAGGTGAGCTAAAAACACAAATTTCAGATCTTGTTGCACAAGACCAATATAAATTGTGTTTCCTTTTGAAAATGCCTTGGGATTTCATAATTTAACAAATGAAGCTTATACACATACTTCCAAAAAAATTATTTTTTATATCTTAAGAAAATATTGCACACAATTTTTTTTAATAAACATTTTATCTTCAGTATATACTTTAAGTGTAAAATACTTTTTAAACAAAACAGTTTTTTTAATCCAACCAATATTAGTAATATGAAAAATATATGTATTACTAAATGTTTATGGTTGATATAATAGAAATATGTAAAAAATTAAGAAAAAAAGAGAGTTCATTTACAGTTTCTCAGTTTTGGTCCAAAAAATTTGTGATTCAGTTTCAAAAGGTACCTGCAAACAGTTAAGCTTGGCCCTAAATTAATATCATGTCAAGTGACAGTACACAACAAAAGCATAAAATCTACTATGTCATTACAAAGAATTTTAAAAAAGAAATAAATGTAATAGTAAATAAATTATGTTGACTTCACTGAATTTATAATTCTATCAAATCTCATTATAGTTTTTGACTAAACTGTTCAAACAATTTCCAATCAATCTTCAAAATTTATGCCTATTGTGATATTATTTATGATACTGAAGAAATACAATACAGGAAAAAAAATTAACATGCAAAACAGGTGCTACATATATACATCATCAGACAGGGAAAAATACCTTATACACAAGTATATTTCCCTTTTTTAGTTCCTTTAAAAGATATAAAAATTCACCCTGTACAAATTAAATTAGAAACTGCAAGTTATTGGGTAAAGGTCAAGCCAAAAAATATGCAATTTTATAAATATAAGCTATTTTAAAGATCTTTTGAAAAATTTAAAATAAAATGCAAGTGCAATATTTTTTTAAGGAGGATGGGTTTTTTCATCATTACATATATATGGCATTGCACCAATTCACTTATTTGTAGAATATTATAAGTAAATGCAAACTCAATCAAAGATTTATACAAGACAACTGTACATGTAGTCATCAATGTAAAAAATGCAATACTCATATATACTTAATATAAACTTTCATTTGTTTTCTTAAAGGCAAATAAAAAAAATCATGAAAAAATAAGAACACAGATCATTCATGCATTAAAAATGCCTAATCCACATCAAAGTCACTACCACTATCTTCATCCTCAGCAGTTGGGACTCTTTTCTCTCCAGTGATTCGGTCGTAAATAATCTTGTTGTTTATATCGGGATTAGGTAAAAAACTGTGTCTGCAAAATACAAGAAGTTAACTGAATAAATACTTCAAAACTGAATAAAATGTTCATTGTTACTGCATTGATAA